TGACAGGAATTTTGTCTGGACTACAAGCTGTAGACGAGTTTAATTGAGATATGACTTTAGTAACAGAAGCCGGAGTGATTTGAATGTCTAACAATGGGTCAACCTGTTTGACTGGAATGGAAGGAAGAGAATGTCCATAAGATTCAAGAGTGGAATTAGAAGAAAAGTTCTTTACAAATAGTTATGCAGTTGTCTCAGCCCTGTTAATTAACCCTAAGCCGTGACATAGGGCTCCTTATGTGGCCTTGACAATGCACACCAAAAGCATTAACAGGGACACCATCCATGCGCAACATGGCACTGTTAATACTCTGATATTTTGCAGCTGTTGATGGAATCAGCCTCTCTAAGAGCTAACACAGAGTTCGGGAAACCTTCCTACCAGCCGGCCTCGGAACTATTAAACTGAGTTTTAGAGCTGTACCCTCATATGGAGATAACAGGAAGAGTTGCATAGCCATTATCAAGGAGGCATAAGCAAAATTCTATAAGTAGAGTCAAGGAGATCCAGCATTCATCATCCTAGGCAGGAAACAATGTAACACAGATTATATCTACGCCAGCCTAATAGATGAAGAAGGGGTTCGAGGCTGGTTAGCAGAATTTTTCTGCTTACCCCTAAAGTCTTTGCCTAGGAGGCCTTCTACAAGACAGTAGCTGGATGCAGTTAACATCTGCCCAAGATGAGTATTTTTATTGAGACACCATCTCTAGCCTTCACTCAACCAAGAGTCCCAAGGCAGGGGATGTTTAGCTGGATGCAGTTAACATCTGCCCAAGATGAGTGTTTTTATCGAGACACCATCTCTAGCCTTTACTCAACCAAGAGCCCCAAGGCAGGGAAATTTTTAGTCGGAGTTTATTTCTCCTAGCCTTTGCCTAAGAAGAGCACACACTGCAAGGCAGCAGGGCTTGTGGCAGAGGTTCAGACAGAACACAAACATACATAAAAAAACATAAAAAACATAGACATAAACATAAAGTAACTTACGGGTGAGCGAACACCGCGCCAGAGGTTCAGACAGAACACAGACATACATAAAAAACATAAAGTAACTTCAGGTGAGCGAACACCGCGCCAGAGGTTTAGACAGAACACAAACATACATAAAAAACATAAAGTAACTTACGGGTGAGCGAACACCGCGCCAGAGGTTCAGACAAAACATAAACATACATAAAAAAACATAAAAAACATAGACATAAACATAAAGTAACTTACGGGTGAGCGAACACCGCGCCAGAGGTTCAGACAGAACACAGACATACATAAAGAACATAAAGTAAATTACGGGTGAGCAAACACCGCGCTAGAGGTTCAGACAGAACACAAACATACATATAAAGTAGATTACAGGTGAGCTAATACAGTAACTAAGGCACCTCCAACTATATGAAAAAAAAAAAAACTATAGGCATGACTGATATAAGAAAGTACTGATGACAGGAAGAATATTCCTTCCAGCCTTTGCTTAGAAAGCAAATCCTGGAAGGCAGCAGAACATGGAACAGGTTGCACTGGGTTACATGTTACTAGTAGCAGGATGATCATGAAGACCATACTCCTGACCTGACACACTGATACTAATACTCATGAAGACCATACTCCTGACCTGACACACTGACAACTAATAATTATTATTAAGTTAATTTTGTGCAATGTTTTAAAAAACAAAGACAAAAACAAGGCTGTTTTGTTAAAAAAACAAATGAAAAAAAAATTCTCTTTGATGTCTTTTTCCTTTTAAAATTTTTTCTTTAAAATATTATTGGCTTCCACGTAGAGATTTAAAGTAATTTAAATTCAAAAGGGCTTTACGTTGAATGAAAATCTCAGCGAGAAAGAGCAAATGATCATGCTTCTATTCAAAAGATAAATTTAGCGTGACGTACTTCATGACAAAAACATTACTTTTAAGAATTGCCAAATTAGAAAAAAAGTAAATAAACAACCAAAAAAATAAACAAGTCGCAAAAATATTTTTTTAAAGAAAAAACTAATCGCAAAGATGTGAAAAGCAATCATGATAGCGATATGCTAAATTCAAGCGCTATATTTCTAAATGAGATTTTAAGCCCATTGTTCACAAATTACTTACTAAATAGCGTATTTCCATCTGCTTCTTAAAAAATTCAAAATCGCAAATAATCAAGTGATTGCAGTGCGTAATTTACAGTAGGTAATTTGTTCCAGAATTTGACTGTACAATTTGTAAAAAAATAAATGGTCTGATATTGTACTTACAACTTTGATTTAAATATTTTTTATTAGTGAATAAATGATTTTTGTTAAATCAAATATTTTGAAGGATCTTTAAAAACCAAAGAGCGCGAATAATAAGGAGGTATTTTTTAAGTTATTTTCTCTACCATTTATACCAGACAAAGCTTACCTACCAACCAAAATTAAGCCCAGATCAAAATCAACAAAAAAAACCCACCATAAACGTAATATCATTTGGTACAACCCTCCATTCAGCTTGAATGTTAAAATAATAATAAGAAATTGTTTCCTAGCCCTAATTGACTTACATTTTCCAGCCACCCAAAAGCTACATAAAATATTCAACCAAAATTCTATTGAGATTAAGTACAGCTGATCACAAAACCTAAAGTTCATCATAAATTCGCATAATTGCAAAACTTTGCCCAACGAAAATCAATTAAAAACCAAGCAATGTAACTTGTGGAGATAAAGCATTTTTTTCTTTGAATAACCAGTGTTTGTCCAACAATATTGTCTACCAAGCAACTGTAAGTTCCATTGATCATTAACATAATAAATTGCATATTTTGACATTAGTCATACATTATTTAAATTAAGATACCCAAATCTCAATATCAATCTCAAATCATTTGCATCAGTTAAGTATAGAAGTGATACAGAACTCTCTAAGGAAACATTAATTAATACTATCTTTAAATGACATCTTATAAAGAGGTTATTTTTTTATGATTAAATAAAAAACTTTTATGGATATAACTCTATCATTAATTTTTCAAAATAATCAGGAATAATTATACTTGAAAACATTATCAAGTACAAATATATTTTTTAACAAGGGTATCTAAACTCCCTCAATATATTTTATTGAAAAACTAATAACAGAGTTATATAAATAGAAAAAATTTTTTATTGAACTATTTATTACAAGTATTTACGCTTGAAGAGATATAGCTCTTGCAATGTCTTCATTTATATTCATAAGCAAATTAATATTTTATGTTATATCAGTTACATGTTATATAATAAACAGATTGTGCAATATCAAAAAAGTGAAAACAGAAGTTTCCTTATAATTTAAAAAAAATTGTGATTAAAAAAGTTATTTTAATTCCTTGTAAACATGTTATAATACTTATGTTATATACTGTTTATTAAGTATACGTTTAACTTTGTCATAAGGCAAGTGAAAAAACAAGTTTATTTCATTTTTTATTAAACAAGTATTCTTCCTAATTTCTATGCTACTCTACTGCTAACTATCTACTATCCATCTTAACTTGATTCGCTTTAATGTTGGTTTATAACTACTAATACCTGATCTTTTTTAAATTCTTTTCTACTACTTTCTTCATTTCAATGCTAATTTATTACTAGTAATACTGGCTCTTTCATAACTTTTTCTCAATTTTTTTTTATATCACTATTCTATTTTCAACTCTCACTATTATAAATATCGCTAATTTTATTATTGATATTATTATTTTTATTATTATTATTAATAAAATTGTTATTTTAATCATTGTTCTTATTATTATTTTGATTATTATTACCGATAACTGGAGTTTTTATTATTATTGCCTAATATTATTACTGATACTTATATTACTACATTATTTATGTTGTTACTGTATATTATTATAATCTACTTCTCTTTTATTGCTATATTTTATTAGGTATATAAAAGTCATATCCTAGATAGATGCATAAAAGTAAATTGAATTTTGTCCTAAATTTATCAAACTTTTTAACTATTATTCCATAAAGTTTTTCGTTTAAGTATTGTACTGTTTTACGTATGTTTGTTTTTTTGTTTTGTTTTTTAGTTTCTTATTATGGTGTTTACTTAAAATTAGTACTTGTACTATACGTAAATAATCCACGAAATGTAAAATCTATTTCAGAATACATTTGATTTGATTTGATTTGAAAGCGCAATGGTATATATTTTTTATTAAATTGCACTTGGAAACTTAAATCTAGGTTAGTCACAAAAAAAAGCGCAAGTAAAGTTATCAACTTAAGTTTTTTTTTTTTGCAACAAGTAATATACTTGGTTTGTAATATTTATTATTTTTGTTTAAAATAAAATTTTAGGATATAATGAAAAAATTAACATATTTTAATTTATTTACACAAATGTAGAGAAAAGAAAGTAATTAATATATGTTAAATAACAATAAAAAATGCAATAATAAATTTATTTATTGTATTAAAAAACAAAACAAAAATTGAAACAAAATAGACATTCAACAGTACATTTACAAAAAAACACTTCTAGATTTGTTTTTCTTAATTAGTAAATTAAATTTGTTTTGCAGCAATTTATTTTATTGCTTTAGTTTAAAAAAGTTAATGTCCATAAATAAAATAAAAAAATAAAGATAATTTTATGACATCAAAATCACAATGATCTGATGCGCTAAGCTGTTTTATTTTTTAAACAAGGCCTGATATATATATATATATATATATATATATATATATATATATATATATATATATATATATATATATATATATATATATATTTATATTTTTGAATGATATATATATATATGTATATACATATTTTTGATATATATATATATATATATATATATATATATATATATATATATATATACATATATATATATATGTATATATATATATATATATATATATATATATATATATATATATATATATATATATATATATATATATATATATATATATATATATATATATATATATAATATAAGTATACTTATATATATATAAGTGTACTTACTTTTTATTTAATGAAAATTCTAAGTAACCAATATCTTGCAACTGTTTATGCCTCCTTTCTACCTCATTTAGATTATTTTCCAATGTTTTGCAAGCTTCTTGCACATCTTTTAAAACTTGTGCAGCTCGGTTCATATCACTAACTTACAAACAATAAAATTATGTATCATTTTTCTTATATACTCAAAACAAAAAAAATTTAAATCAATAAATAAATAAATGAAATAAAGTTAAATGAAAATTTGTTTATAGAAATTTTAAAATTATTTAAATGCTTTTTTGAAATATTTTACTTTAACAATCCCTTCATATTTTCTCTAACATACAATTTAACATTAATATACAAGTACTTGGAAAATTTAAACTTTTTCATTTTAATTCAAAATGATACTTATTAAATCTGATATACCTTTATTACATCACATTTTGAGAAATTTTTTTTAATATTCTTAGAAAGTTCTGAAAGATTCTAGAAGTTAAACTAGAAAATAGAAATAAAAGATCAATGTCAAGTTATTTTAGCCAGTTATTGCAAATATGTTTCATTAGACGCAAACTATCCAATAGTAGAGTTTTCTTGTAGAATCATGTTATATAAATGGTTTTAAATCACCTCACATAAGGTACTAAGCATGTTCCTAATAATATGGCTATTGTCCGAAATCAAAAAAAAAAAACTTTTTAACCACAATTTTTGATCATTTCGATCACTTTATATAGTTATATAAAGTGGTTATAATATAATTTAAATAGACTGCAGTCTATCTAGCATTTTTTAATGGAATCATTGCAGCAATATCTTTGCATGAAAATAATAAAGAAAAAATCATAAATATTTGCACTGTGTTATCACCTGGTTATCAGGTTTATTTTTTGACATTTTTTGACACACTTGCTTATAAGATAAGCTGCTTGAGTGTTATCATCTAGGATTCATTAATCATTTAAAATGCAGTAGACAATTCTTAAAGATAGGATCATTTGGTAACACTAGTTATGACATGCTATTAAGATAAAGAGTATTTTAGACTTCCAAGACCATGGGGGTCTTGGAAGTCTAAAATCATCCTCAAGTACATTTCATGATATACTTAAGAGTAACTTATACTCTATGATATTGTTTACCAGGTGTACCGGTATAAAATAAAATACAAGTATATTAATAAGGAGCTTTTTTTGTGAATAAGCCCTAATTTTTTTGTTTGGTTAGTGTAAAATCGGTCAATGCATATTAAATTTACATTAAATCATTAAACAAACAATATCCTATTTTTTTATCGTGCTAAAAATGTCAAATTTTTTTCTGGAAAGAGATGATTAGCTGAAAGCATTAATTTTTTAAATTTAATTCTATAAATTTCATATGAAGAAAAATTGTTTTAAAAGTTCAAAGATAATGATTTTGATGTGAGAAATGAAGAACTTTCAAAAAATTTTGAAGACTTCGCAATATTGGATAAAGATGATACTTTAAGTCAAATGCATATGGAAGTAATGTTTAATGTTACTCAACAAACAACTTCTGACCATTTTAAAGTTATGGAAAAAAATCAAAAGTGTGAAAAGTGAGTGCCACATGAACAAAATGAGTGAAAAAAAACAACAAAAAAAAACATAAAATTTGTTTCAAAGACACAAAAAAAAATCAGTTTTGCATCAAACTGTTACTAGTGATGAAAAATGAATTTATTCTAGAACCCTAAACAGAAAAAATCATGGGTTAATCCTGGACAACCAACATTGACAGCAAAACCAGATCAATATGGCAAGAAAGAAAAGCTCTGTATTTGGTGTGATCAGAAAAGTGTAGTTAATTGCAAGCATCTAAAACCTGATAGAACTGCTAATGCTATTTGCTATAGACAACAAATGATCAATTTGAACCATGCATTGATTAAAAAATGACCAGAATAGGCCATAAGACAAAGTAATTTTGCTACACAACAATGCTCACAATACAATACTGATTCAGGATAAAATTAAAGCACTTGGCTAGAAGCTGCTACCCCACCTGCTGTATTCACCAGACTTGGCCCCTATTGACTACGATTGATTTTCATTGATGGAAAATACATTGTCTGAGCAGCACTTGGATTCCTACGTGGAAGTTGAATTTAGGTGTCTGATTGGTTTGCTTCAAAAGATGAACATTTCTTTTCATGAACATTATTGTTGTGTTATCAACAAAATTCTAGAAAGGTGCTCAAAATATGTAAAAAGCAATGGTCAACACTTTAAACAAATAATTTTTACTTTTCCATTCAAAACTAGTTTTTCATTTTTACACAAAAAACGTTTACTTCATATCGATGCACCTGGTAGTTCTGATACTTTTGAAATTATTTAATACACTTGCAATTTAATTTTAAATTTTATTAGATCAATTTTCTTGAAATATGGATACCTTTGATTGATTCTTGGTTTTAAGCAGAGATAAAAATGAATTTTAAAGCTGCATAGACTTTGACCAATTTAGTTTAAAAAAAAAAGTAGTAAAAACAAAATAAATCCTCCTATATGCCACCTCTTTTACTTAAAGGTTAATAAAGGGCTTATTTATTTCTTATTAATCAAGATTGAATTTAGCTTGAGTAGTATAATAGTTAAACTTATTCATATAAAAATGCTAAACCTTTACGAACATCAGTAAAATATTCATTAACTTAGTCACATAGACAAATGTCCCTAACTTGTTTACATAGACAATTTGAATTAAACTGAATTGTGAAATCCTAATCAGAAATTAACAATGGATATTTTTATTACCAGAAAAAAAAAGTGTTAACGTGTTAACGTAGTAGGTAATTGAATTTCTGTCTATTTTTAAATTATAGCAAAAACTCCAACAAGTTACTTATTGTAAATTTTTAAAGATAATAATACTGTCAGTATATCTATATCATCAATCATGCAAATACAAATATAGTTTGGCTTATGTAAAATAACCTTTTTATATTTATGATTCATACAGCAACTATTTTTATCAGAAAATCGCCAGAATTTTCAATTTTATCCATTTCTATTCATTTTTTTAAGCTCTTCTTCTCATGGGTTTTGAACTCTGCATAACAACATTTGGATGTTTATATTTGAAGTATGCTTAACTTGATAAATAAAAAAGAATGTTAGGAAATAATGATGTCTTAGCTTAAACCATCACTATGTTTTATTGTAACAATAGATAAAAGAATGAAATGTTTTTTCACAGTAATTTTTTAAAAAATAAACCTTTCTCAAGGAATCTTACAAATTCATAAATATTCAGAAGGAAACTTAAAAACACTAACTTTTTCATATTGACAATCAATTGATGTTGAATAGTAACTATTCAACATCAATTGATTGTCAATATGAAAAAGTTAGTCTTTATAAAAGTTAAATTATCATAATATAACTTTTATAAAGAAAATCTTACCTTTGACAAAGGATTTGTCACTTTAGCAAAAGTAAAAAAAAAAAAGTAAAAAGGCTATTAACAAACTGTTAATTATGTTTAAACTGATTATGATCATCAAAATATATGTATATATTATATCAATCAATCAATATATACTGAATTACATGATCTTAATTTATTTAGTGAAATTTTATTTGCTTTGTGCCAATTAATAACAGAAAACATGGCTTCATTAGTTTTTAACTGCATTTTTTTAAGCGAATCTTCAACAATTAACAGGTTATACATATATTTCAATGATGATTATCAGTTTAAACATAATTAACAACTTGTTAACAAATTATTTAACAAGTTGTTAAACAATTTAAAGTATAAATATATTAAACTAATGGTGATCATCGAAATACATGTATATATTAAATACATATATTTAGATGATGATCAGTTTAAAGATAATTAACAACTAGTTAAATAGCCTTTTTAAACAATTGTAAGTGGCATTCTCCTAATACTATTAGGATATAAAAATAAACATATCTATATATCTATATATGATTGTTGATAAAAAATTATTAATAATGCAGATATATTATTTTCTGTCCTGTGTAAAGGGCAAATATATTCATATATATTTTATGTATATATTTGATATGACATAAATAATATTTGATATGCCATATGTGTATAAATTTGAAATATATACACTAAATAATTTATTAAATTCAATATTTCGTTTACAAATTTACTATTAATATATCATTTCTGTCTTAAATTTGTAAAAAAACTAAGTAAAAATCTCTCTCTTGATTCATAAAATGTACGCTATGTATATTGTAAACAACTTTTAATAGTCTCATTAATAACAGTACTATTAAAATTCAAATTATAATCCAGATTCAGACAAACGCTTAAAAAAATTATTTATTTGACCGCAGCTTAACGCCTATATGTTTGACGTGCGACGAAGTACATCCGACGTAAAGAGTTCTCTTTGAAAGATAACAAACTGGATAAAGCCAACTTGACTTAAGTTTGATGATACGCTGACCAGGAACCTAAATTTGACCTTAAATCTCACTCTAAATCTAAAATAAATTATTTATTAAACCGTAGCTAAACGCCTAAATGTTTGACGTACGATGATGAATTAAGTACATCCGACGTAAAGCACTCTTTTAAAGATAAAAAACTGGATAAGCCAACTTGACGTAACTTTGGTCTTGACCTGGTTCTGACCCTGACCATGACCCTAAAGTTGACCCTAATTCTGACCCCTACAATTTCAAATCTAGCTCTTACTAGATTTTATTTGCAAAATAATGCGTTGTTTCAGACGTAAGATCTCTCTTAAAAGAGAGAATGAAAATTCAAATTTTTTTTTTTTTTTTTTTGTTTTTACAACTTTAATAACTTTACACATCGTTACGTTATAACTACATGACATAATATAATCTCACGTAAAAATATAAGATAATAATATCACGTATAACATAGCATAACAAAAATTGGTTTAACAAGTATATCTAAGTATAGCGTAAATTAATAGTGTTTCTTATCATAAATGTTACCAGTATTTTTAAAAAATAAAAGAATAAAAATAAGAAAAGAAAAAAAAAAAGACAAGAAATTTTTTGGTACTTCAGATATATACATGTTGTTATAAAGGAAAACTCGTAGAAGTCTATGAAGACTTATCATTGAGTACCTCTTTAAAAGGTTAAATAAAGTCTATTTTATTTTTATATATAGTCAAAAGTGGTTAAACATTATACAATCAGTGATACACATAAATATTTTAATATAAATTTTAATGTTAAGTTTAATACATGTCGATATAATTGTTGGTATTAAGTATGAGGTGTTTTAATTTATTTTTCAAGTTGGCAGCATTATTTAATACTTTAAGTTCTATATTTTTGGATATGATTTTGTTATAGAGGTACGGACCCCGGTAGGAAATAGAAAACCGTGAGAACGTTGTTGTTCTTTTGGGCAGTGTAAAGTTGCCTGTTGCTCTTGTCATATACCTATTAGAGTTTACTTGAAAGAAGTTTTCTAAGAAATGCGATGGGACTAGTCCAAGTTTGTATTTAAGCATAAATAGAACATTTTGGTAGATGTTGATTTGGTAAACATTTAGTGCATTCAAGGTTTTTAGTAAGAGTTCAGCATGGGTCAGTTTATCTTTATTATAAACTAATCTTGATGCATGTTTTTGACTTATGTAAATAGTACTCAATTTGGATTTGTGTCTACTAGCCAATGTAATATTAGCGTATGTAAAATAACTTTGAATGTAAGAAAAATAAAGCGATATAAGATTATGTTGGGATAACATAGGTTTAACTTTGTAGAGCATGCCAATATTTTTTGAAATTTTGGTGTTTATTGAACTTATATGGGCTCTCCAAGATATATTTTCGTCAATTAGTACCCCAAGAAATTTAGTTGTTTCTGTTCTTTCAATATTTACCTTATCTATTTTTAGTGAGGGAAGGGTAGTTGGTATATTATTTTTTTGTTTTTTGGAATGAAACAATATGTATTTTGTTTTTTGTGGATTTAGTGATAACTTATTTAATTTCAACCATAAATTTAATTTTTTAAGCTCTTTGTTCATACATTCATAAAGGTCTTTGATTGAGTTCGATGAATAAAATAAGTTTGTATCATCGGCAAACATAATTACATCATGTTTTTCCGAGGCTTTTGTAAGGTCATTAATATATAGAAGAAACAGAAGAGGTCCAAGAATGGAACCTTGGGGGACACCGCACTCAACTCTTAGTAATTTTGAGTGTTTATAATTATCTGAAAAGACGCATTGTTGTCTGTTACTTAAATTGTTTTTGAATCAGTCAAGGGTTATGCTTTTTATCCCATAGCTTTCCATTTTTTAAGTAAGATATTGTGATTTACAGTATCAAACGCCTTTGACAGGTCTATAAAGATGCCTAGAACATACTGTTTTTTATCAAAAGAATCACTTATATTGTTAACTAGATCTAGGATTGCGTGTTCAGTTGAATATTGTTTTTGGAAACCAAATTGCTTTTTATTTAGGATTCTATTTTGGATTAAATACTCATACAATCTGTTATAGATTATTCTTTCGAAAAGCTTAGAAAAGGTAGGGAGTACCGAGATAGGTCTATAATTATTAATTAAGTATGATTCACCTGTTTTGAATATCGGTACTACTTTAGCTACTTTTAACTTGTCCGGTACAACTCCTGTTTTAATCGAAGTCTTAAAAATTTCAAATATAGGTTTATTTATTGTTGTAAAGATATTTGCCACTACCCTACTACAGATATCATCTATACCTGGAGTTTTATTTAATTTTAAAGAGTTTAGAGCAATATTAAGTTCTTAGTAGTTTAGTTCTTTGTATTTTAGTTCGCTCTGGATATCACTTAAGTATGATCTAAATAAATTATTAGGAGACTTAATTTTTGAGGCAAGATTAGGGCCAATATTAACAAAAAATTCGTTGAATTTTTCAGCAATCGTATTTTTGTCACTGTACTCTATATTGTCTATGAATATTTGAGCAGGTAAACTATTTGATTTAACTTTTTTGTTCCCAATTATTTCTTTTATCGTATTCCATGTTTTTTTAATGTCACCAGTTGCATATTTTATTTGGTTAGAGTAGTATTTTTTCTTCGAACTTTTTTTTTATTTTTTCAAATAAATTTTTGTATTGTTTGTAAGTATTTAGATTTTTTCATTTCTATTTTTTAAATACTTGATGTAAAGTTTTTGTTTTTGTTTTTAAGATTTTTTTATACCTCTAGTAATCCATGGACATTGTAAATATTTTACTTTTAATTCTTGTTCTATTATAGGGAAGTGATTATCATAGTGCTTTAAGAATATAAATTCATTATAAGCAGAGTTGGTGTGCCCAAGAATGCATTCTTAGTAAATCCTGTCCCACCTCACTGCCGATTGTGAGTCTTTAAACTGTTGAATAGTAAAATTATTAATTTTTCGTTTATAGACTTTGATTTTAGAGTTATTTTTTTTTTTTTGTATCTAGAAAAAAGGAAAAGTATATCAAAAAGTGATCGGATATATCCGTTTTGATTACACCTGCTTTTAATGAAGAATCATAAAATGAATTAGTCAAAATGTTGTCTATTGCAGTGATTGAATTTAATGTTACCCGGTTTGGTTGGTTTATTATAGGAAAGATGAAGTGTTGAAACATATCGTCAAAAAAAATTTTGGTTACAGCATCTTCATTATATTGTAGACAGTTTATGTTTATGTCACCAATACAGAATAATATTTTGTGTTCTTCGTCATTTTTTAGAAATATTTGTTTTAGGTGAATTGAAAAGTTTTTTATATTACCTTTGGGTGGTCTGTAACAGGTAGGCACTATTATATTTTTTAATTTTTTGTTTATTATTTCAATTGTAAAGACCTCACCATCGGCATCAGAAACCGAAAGATCGTCTCTAATTTTAGTTGTGAATGTATGTCATAATTCCACCTCCTCGTTTTTGAATTTTTCGCTCATAAGATAATAGTTTGTAGTTTGGAATTATTAGGTTCGAATTTATTCTGGATGATTCGTCAGAACACCAAGTTTCTGTTAAACAAATCATGCTGAACAAATAATTACATTCTATAACTAAATGCTTTAGTTTGTCAATATTGTTAATTATACTTCTTATATTTATGTGTATCACTGTAAAGT